AATAATTTTACACCTTAGCTAAAGTTTGACAAATATAAATTCAGCCTGCATTGCATCATTTACAGTACAAGTAACTCAGAAAGACTGAAAGAGAAATGTATTGTTTAACCATTGTAGTACTGTGTCTACTTCTAAAGTGAGAATAAATTGGAGATATGGTAATTAACTTATGTGTCTGAAGTGGATCAATGACAATTTTCTACAAAGAATGGAAATGCATATAGGAATTTTAAACATAGCATGTTAGAATTGGGAGTGATTATCTTCCCAAAATATATAATTTTCTCTACAAGATTATAATTCACAGTGAGAATCTTGTTACAAAGTAAATTTCCATATGGAAAGTAGTAATAAGATAATGTGACAAAGAATAAGAAGAGAGAGAAAACAGATCACTATTCAATCCTAATATTCCTATACTTCTATTCTATTAAATATTCTATTAACAAATATTTGCTTTATTCCAATTGAAGACAATTCGGTTTGATCTTATTTGCTATCATATTTTATGCAGTTATCCTAGACTTTGAGAATTCTGTGTCTGAAACCAATTTTCTTAATCACTACAGGATCTGTGTCACATTATAATTTTCCTGTGGTAGAAAACTAAAAGTTCTTTTTCCAAATGATATTTCATTAGATTCTATTTCTCAGGAACAAAATAGGGTATAACAAAACACAAGAATCAAGAATAAATCAAGGCAGCAGGTGTATTAGATAAGGAGATATAAGGAATCAATCAATTGCATGACAGAAGATGATATTAGTTGTTTTTTCATCTTATTTGCATAATTGATTAATATGACTAGATGACCAACAGAAAATAGATTGCTAATTTCTTACCACTATCAACCTAGCTCTTACCAATGAGTTGATTACTCAGTCAATGAAAAACCAGCAATTCACTGTGAGAAAAAAGCACCATGGAACAGGGTGAGAGGGATGATGCCTGAACAGCCATCGCTGAATAGAAAATGCTTTTTCTGAGACTGTTACTATGAGAACATGCACAAGAACATGTTTTTGTTAAACAAAAAAAAAATATGTATGTGCATTGCAAGCAATCCACATTGTCTTATTTTAGAATGAATTCTCACAATCAGAAAAATATATTGATTATTTCTCACACTCTGCAAATTAGACATTTTTCTGAAAATGCACAGGTTCCACAAATGTAGAACCATTTGTAAGAATTTTGGGAAAGGAATATATTTTCCAAAAATCAACAACAATATGTGAGACTGTGTAAGCAACAGAAATTATAGGAAATTATAAGAAAACTTTCAAATGCAGGACATATTATTCAACATAAATATGTCCAGGACAGAAGATGGGAGACAGGAAGGGAATCCACCCAGTAACCCTCAGCTCTATTCAGTTGCCCAGATTCCACCCGCACAAGGGGTTATGGGGTTATTAAAAGGGGATGATGATGTCCAGAACAGAAGATATAAACTTAAAAGGCAAGAAATAACTATCCCAAATTACATTTTGCCCAAAAATAAAGTCTGTCTGTCTGTCTGTCTGTCTGTCTGTCTGTCTGTCTCTCTCTCTCTCTCTCTCTCTCTCTCTCTCTCTCTCTCTCTCACACACACACACACACACACACACACACACACAGAGAGAGAGAGAGAGAGAGAGAGAGCCCCAGAACACATTTGCTTTTTTGTCATCTAAAACACTCGTGCAAAAAGTTAACAAGCTTTATTAATTACTTCAAGACATGTAAATGAGTATTCCTGCACTTTTAAATTTATTTCTAATTTGACCTTTCATGCAGAAAAAAAGTATTCCGTTAGGAAAATATCTTGGCCACTATACAGTATATCTCTGTAAAATCATATCACATAGCTTTCTGAAGTAAAAGATGTCAGTGATGCTTATTGCTATATATTCCAGGAATTTTCTGACTAGTTTGTTAATGTTCTAGGAGAAATTTAATATATAAGCAGTTTTGGTGGTTTATGACAAACTGGAGTGAATTCAGTTGTACAATTCATTAGACTATATATCAAATGTTTCTGCTACTGTTTAATAAAACTAATATTAAAGACTGAATCAATTTCAGAATAGAAATTCAAAGTGTAGAACCTAGGTTGTAGTCATAGCAAGTTAATTCAAAAATTAATATAACAATCCTATAAGCCAGGGTTCTGGGAAGCAGAACTACAATATTAAAATATCACCTGACTTCACCAGTACTTCCTGTTTTTAATCTAATTACCAAGTCTCTTGTTTTATTTCATATGTTGTTTCTTCATGAAAAACTGGTGTATGTTTTCTCTAATCTATCTCACTCATTTTTAGAAACTTATGGAACTTCTTAAAATTTGTGGCATCTTGAGACGTCCGGTTTGAGCTTCTTCGGTGACAGACCGAAACCTCGTCTCTGCGAGGCTTCGATCCGTGCTCGCCGCTGGAGCGCCCCGAGCCAGCTGGTTCCGGGGCTAAGCCACCCCGTAGAGGTGGTGAAGAGGGGGGAGACTGCCTGCAGGGTTGAGGAGAGCCGCATCTCTCCTCCCCAGCTGGCCATTACTCCCTTTCCTGAAGGCGGTTGTAGCAGTGGTCAGAAATGGCCACCACAAAGAAGAACTCGACTGGAAAAGAATGTGCAGGAGAAAGATAAGAAGAGAAAGTTTTGGTTGACCAGGTCAAACAGCAAAAGTAACAAATAAGGTACCCTGGAATTTAAACTTAACAACATTGTTCCCAAAGAAGATTTTGAAGCTGCGAAGGAGAGACAGAAGGGAAAGGATTAGGTTTTTTTTCTTCCCTTCCTTATACTGACAGCTAAGAGACTTAAGCAAGAAACTGAAAAAAAAATCCACTTTGACATTAATAGGCATCTAAGCTGAAAATAAAAGTCAAAGGGATAAATAAAGATTTTTGGACATTTAAAAGTTTTTAAAAGCTGGAAAGGAGAAAAAAAAGAATAGAAGGGCAGGATCTGGAAAAATGGAGGAGACTGCCTGGAATTAAGGAATGGAACTGTAATTAAAAGGAACTTACAGTGAAATTTTAACTTCCCTCTCCGTGAGCAGGTGAGTTGGCAGGGTGCTGTCCAAAGCGGTGCCTGGGACTCAAAGGCCCTCTTTCTCCAGCCTTGGGATGGGTGCCCTTCCTACCCTGCCCTGTGCCATGCTTCAGGGAAGCCTGGCTGGGCACCGCGTATTGGGTCTGGTAGCAGATAGGGAAATGTTGCACCTTCCTTTGCTTCCTGCAGGGACTGCTGGTGGAGCATCCCTCATGTGCACCCGCTGCTGCAGTCAGGTGTGCGAGGAGAACTTACTCCACACACAGGCCAAGAGCAAGACCTGCAAGAAGAAGATGACCAACGGTGACCTGCTTTCCAACTGCAAGTCAAAACAGACAGTGGGACAGAATAAGCGCGTCCAGCAGTCCAGATCACATTCCTGCCCACAGCCTCTGCTTGCTACTTGGACAGCCAGCCCAATCCTGGAATTTGTTCTCTAATTATCCTAATGTTGGAGTGGAAATTAATATACAGCATATGCAATGGTTCAAAGACTAAAAGTATCACCTCCATCCATTCAAGAGTCAATGAGAAAAACAAAATTCTCTTTTTAATCAGGACCTGCTGAGAGTTATTCTAGTGATGAGGCAGCGGACAGGTTAGGATCATAATCTTAAATAGGACAAAAGGACCCTAGGAGAAATAATTGCCAGGAAATAGGAGGTGAGGTTAGTATGGAATAAATCACTCTAGTTTCTCAAAATAAACGATAGATCTGTACTAAACCTGTAAAACACAAGTACATTCACCAAAGCCAGAACATACCCTCACAATATAAAGTTATCAAAAGAATCAATGCACACCACAACTCTCAATACCTTGCAGATGCATATCTATATACTACCTGTAAATTTAGAATGCATCTTGATACATATTTTTACCATGTTAAATATAACATCCTATAAATTGTTTAAACATTGATATATATTCAGGGGTGGACTGCTGTGGTTCAGGAGAGCCCCTAGCTAAGATTCTGTGCAATTTGGAGAATCCCCAAATGCCACTCCTGGCTGGCCCCACCCACCTAGACCACCCCTCCCAGGAGTCCTCACACAGCCCGTTTTGGATGCAGGTAAGTGCAGGGCATGCATGGAGGCTTGGGCATGGCAAAAAACAGGCCTCCCGGAAGTTTGGGAAGGCCGGAAATGAGAGCCTCCAGAGAGCCTGCAGAGCCCGGGGAGGGCAAAAATGCCTCCCCGCCATGGTGCAGGAGGCCGACTAGACCATGCCCACCATGTCCACGCCCACCCAACAGTCGGGCAGAGAACCTGTTGCTAAAATTTTTGAAGCTCACCTCTGTATATATGTTATATGTTGTATATGTTGAAGAGTACATCTTCCTATAAGAAAGTTCCATTAAGGGCTTACAGCAATTATACTAAATTGTAAATAAACGTATTAATAGCACAATATAGACAGCAATATTTTCTAAGGGCACAATCTATAACATCTGTTCGATAGCAGATAAATTGAGTGGGTAATGGGAGCTGCACAATGTTATATTTAAAGTGACACCACAGGTAACCTCAGAATGCTTTTCCTTATCAGAAATGAAACATTTTCTATGATTTACATTTTTTAATTAAACAGTACTTCGCTTGTTGCAACAGAGGGTGTTACTGAGGCAACACCTCAATTATAAAATTGTCTCTCAAAGGTGAAATTGTGGCATTTAAATGGGAAATGAAAACCATTTTATCTCCCTGTTACATTTTATAATGTAACATAATTAAAGGTTTTTAACTCAAATTTTAGTTAATTTATGACATTTCATTTGTTTTGTTCTGCTATTTAAACTGCTTTTGGTCTCCTCATTAGTGGTGTAAAGCAGTTTAACAAACACTTTCATGGAAGTATAGATAAAATATGTTTAAGGAACAATCTGGTAGCTTAAATTTTACTACAACTACCTGAATTTATACATACCTGCTGTCCTTTGATAACAAACCAAGGCTGGAACATCTTTCAGTAGTTTTGACTCTCTCCTCATCAACACACCTTCTGACCCTTCCTGAGAATCCGACCAAGACTAGGATTCATTACAACTATTGCTCCAAACGTGGAGACAGAACATTTTGTGTGTGTGGAATATCAAAAAATGTCATCAGGCACTGCAGAAATCTCCTTGTTCTTGTATGGTTTTACACATTAGCCTAAGAAACAAACACATGTCAAGTACTAGGATGAGTTGTGTAAAACAGAACTGGGATTAATGGCAGAATATTTGTGGAGAAGAAAAAATACATTGTATCTTTTTAAGTGTTTTAAACAAATACCATGTTTTCCTACTAAAACCAAATGACAAAAATATTATTCTTCAAAATCAATATATTGATATAATTATATTGCAGATAAACAAAGTGTTTAAAGTCAAATATATCATTCATTTAACTGATGTAGTGATACCCAAGAGATAATGGGTATACAGAAGAGGAAATTAATGTTTTTTTAATAAAAGGACCCAATTAACACATAATGTTTGGAATATCATGGAGAGAAAAATCCAAGATATATATGAGCCATAATCACAGTATAACATAGAACATTGGTGGAAGATAAAACTAAAGGAATTCAGCTACTAAAAACTTTCTATTGGAAATTAAAAACAACAAATGGCTAATTTTTTTTAAAAAAAGAGTTTTGAGTAGGTCATTATAAAATTCAGTCAGGTATCCAATTCAGTAATTCATATCTTGCCAAATTTAATATGAAGAAGAATAAATATTTTCCAAATAATTTCCGACTCTACACTCTTTCTGTGTTGTCTTGCAGGGAAGCTTCATGCCTGTTCTTTATTAATATTGATCTAAGTGGTAGAGCCCACTGTAACTACATAGCCAAAAAGGCATTAAGAGTTGTTAACCTAATCCTACGTAGCTTTTTCTCTGGTAATATCACACTACTAACTAGAGCATACAAAACATTTGCTAGACCAATACTTGAATACAGCTCATCAGTCTGGAACCCACATTATGTATCTGATATTAATACAGTTGAGAAAGTCCAGAAATATTTCACAAGAAGAGTTCTCCACTCCTCTACCAGTTGCAGAATATCTTATGCCACCAGACTTGAAATTCTAGACCTAGAAAACCTAAAACTACGACGCCTTCGGTCCGATCTAAGTATAGTACATAAAATTATACATTGCAATGTCCTACCTATCAATGAATACTTCAGCTTCAACCATAACAATACAAAGCACACAATAGATACAAACTCAAGGTAAACCGTATCAAACTTGATTGCAGGAAATACGACTTCAGCAACAGGGTGGTCAATGTCTGGAATACTCTACCTGACTCTGTAGTTTCTTCCCGAAACCCCAAAAACTTTAACCTTAGACTGTCTACTATTGACCTCACCCCTTTCCTAAGAGGTCTGTAGGGTGCGTGCATAAGCACACCAGCGTGCCTACCATCCCTGTCCTATTGTTTCTTTTATTTTTCTTATATGTACCCATTTCATGTATTCATAACTATGTATATACTTATACCTATTATCTTGTAAGCAATTGACAAATCAAAATAAATAATAAATAAATAAATAAATAAATAAATAAATAATATCTGTTTTTACCAAGCAATCCCTGATCTACCAAGAAATAAGAATATTTGCATCATGGCCTGAATAACATAGTGCAAGATGCAGTGTTGAATCACTGTCCTTTTTTAGGCCAATTAATCACAAGGAGGATGGAGAAAAATGAATCCTGCCAAATATCTTGTGTGCATAATTCCAATTAATTCAGGAAGACACTTGATTCATGCTCCAAACATGATCCTCCATCATTACTTTCATTACTTTCAGTCATTACTTTCTTTTGCTACCCCGGGGTGGTATAATTGTTGTGCTTAAGTAATACAAGATATCCATGCATAATCTACAAGCAAAATAATAGACTCAAGCTGTATTGAACAGCTGAACTTACACAAGCTCCATCTGACCAAATTTTTATCATCCAACGGTACAGATGGAGATCCATTTCACTCTTTAGAGCTACTATCCCCTGGTTCCATGTTTAACTGTTGTGCCTATCAAAATATTCATTTTTGTTTATGGGGGGGGGGAATAAAGAGAATAACTTTTTACACTCCTCTTATTTTACAACAGTATTTTTCTTATTTCTTAGCTCCTTACAAGACAGAATTTGTTCCTTTCTTTGTTTAAGTCTTTTTTACAATACAGATAGTCCTCGAAGTATGACCACAATTGAGCCCAAAATGTATGTTGCTAGGTAAAACATTGTTAAGTGAGTTTTGCACCATTTGACAACCTTTCCTGCCATGGTTAAGAGAATCACTGCAACTGTTAAGTTAGTAACATGATAAGTGAATCTGGCTTTCCTATTGACTTTGCTTTGTCGGAAAGTCACAAAAAGTGATCATATCACCCCAGGACATTGCAACCATCATAAATATAAACCAGTTGCCAAGCATCTGAATTTTGATCATGTGATCATGGGGATACTGCAACGGTCATGTGAAAAATGGTGATAGGTCACTTTTTTTCAGTGCCATTTTAACTTTGAACAGTCATTAAATGAACTGTTGTAAGTCAAAGACTACCAGTAATGCAATGAAGTGGCCCATTATAAAATCCCAACTCTTATCCTGAAATTCAAATCACTGCCTTTACCACAAGAGTAAGAGAAGGAACTAAAGGAGACATCTGAGATGCTGCCTCTGTCTGCTACTTCCAACATTTGGTATTGAAATATTATTGTCTCTTTCAAGACAATTACTAGCATATGCTCCTTCTTTACCAGAGGGCTTTTCTGGGATGACACTGAGTTGCCATACCTGTACTCCATTGCATTTGCTGCTGTTTGCTTTTCAAAAATATTCCTCTTTGGAATAAAAATGGGGTGGCTGATATCAGCTACTGAGGGTGAGGAACCTATAACTATGAGAATTACATATCGTTATAGTTGTAGTTTTTCATCACTTCATATAGAAATATTGGAGTTGTGATGGTTGCTCCAAAATACTATTCAAATACAGAAGGGTACACAATTAAAAACTAAACAGATTGGATAAGACTGAACAGGGTCAGTTTTAGCTCTAACAGGGACCACATGTTATGCTACACATGATTGTGTTGTGTGAAGTACAGATGAATTCACACCCAATACCTACTAAGTAAAATGTTAAGAGTTTGCAGCAAAGTTCAAATCCAGAAAACACACAGATGACTGACTCAGCAGGATTCATTAACTTCCTTTTGTATAAAATAAGTAAATGTACAATACCAGTACATTTACTTATTTTATATAAGTAAAGGTTATATAAGTAAAGGTTTCAAGCAAACACAAATAGAAGCAGATACATTACAGCTCCAGTTCAGAGCAGAACTCTAGTTTCAGCAAGCAAGCAAATTAGTTTCTCTTTCACTTTAGCGCTGAGCGCAGAACAGACATAAACCATGGCCAGATTCTCTCTTTTAAATTTCAGGCCCCAATTCAGCTCTCATTGGCTGACCTTATTACTAAGCTCTATTGCAGTTTATGAATACACTCTGAAAAAAGACTGCAGTGAAATCAAACAGCAAAGTAAATTATATGATTTATTTGCACACAATGATTAAGAACAGGTTCACAGAACTGAAAACTCAATTTAAAATGAAATGCCTGAAGAATGAGAGCCAAAATTGAGCAAGGAGAATAACAGGTAGGGAAGTAAAATTAGATCTACAAGTAAGTTCCAGAGAGATACAACACAGACAGTTGTTTCTTCATTACACACATCTGCCATACTGAACCTTTAAATTTATCATCAATGGCCTGAGCCACCTGACCATTATTTTTATGGTAGTTGGTCTCTTTTCTTTAATGCCCCATTTAATTCCCAACAATAGCCTCCCCTCCATCACAGAGACAGTTCATCTACTCTTTGGACAAGGATTTCAGAACTTCGGTTCCAAACTTCTGTTAAGTTTTTTATGGCAAGAAAGACCGGAAACAGATCAGCTTATCTGAAGAACAATAAGAACTTCTATTATGTTCTGTAGAAAAGCTAAAAAGCTAAATACTTTGAAAACATTCCAATAACTGCTATGTATGAAATGCAATTCTATATATAATGAAATCAAGATTCATATTTGGTTGCTTTCTCTCATCTATACAGTGTAATGAAACGATTGTCTTTTATCTGGATGTAAATGGTAACTGGCCATTCCAGAGCTATGGAAGACTGCGACCCAAACTACATCCTCCTACATCAAGACAATGTCCACAAAAGCATGTGTACATTTAAATTTTGGGGGACAATCCTGGACTTCGATTTCATTGTACTGTAGAGGGAAAATGATCTGTTGTGTATAAGGCTTTATTCATGGCTGCAATAAAAATTCTAATCTAATACAATTTTATCTACTAAATAAAACACTTAATCTTGTGTTAAGTCAAACTGGTAAATATAAATCCTTTGAACTATATGTGTAAGTTGCACTACAAGCCCACCTAACACCCTGTAACACATATTTCATATAAACTGGTGGACTTACATTATGATCACATACTTACACACGCACACATAATTTTCCGTACTATTCTACTGAAATAAGAACTCAGAAAACATATTTTGGTTTTAAAATTATTATTTTTTTCTGTTCACATATGATATGTTTTATATGTTCTCAAGCTATTCAGTTTATAATGGATGATTGGTAAATATTTATTGTTTTCTACCTCTAAAGAGTAAACTTCAAAGTTACATTTCTCCTCTAGGGTTTCTTAAGCTGATCAAACAAGCTGAAATAGTAATCATATTGATGGCAAAATAAATCATAATGAATATGAATTTATTATTTAACAACTAATTATGGGGAAAGGGAATTTTTTGATTTAAAAAACTTCTCAGAAATTTAAAACTTTATGCAAAATGTTCTTCAAGTCATGCCTGCTTGGGGAGAAAGGACACAATTATCTTGATAATACATTTATATTAAGAATTGAAGGGAAATTTAAAATACATTAAGTTGTGCACATAAGTCTTAATATAGATTTTTTTATATATGAATAAATATATTGGCATAAGCAAAAGACCTGAGAAAAAATTGTAATATTTTATTTTATGCCTTTAAAAGAGCAATTACTCCTGGAGACTGCCCATACTATTCCCTGACATTTTCATGGCATGATTTTAGAAGTGAT